CCCAGAGCCCATCGTCCCCTCCTACCTCTTCCTCCTCCTGGGCTTCCACTGCTGGTCCGTTGTGGGCCTCCTGGAAGAGGAGCTTCTTCATTTTGCGGTACTGGAGGTTGTCCAGCTCTCTCACGGCGTCCTTGGTTCTCTGTATTAGGTCTATTAATACGGTTTCCGGGCGGTCTCGAACCACAAAGACGTGCTGCGATGCAGGGCACAAGGAAAGCCAATCAGGGTTAGCCCTCTCCCCAAGGCTACCCAGAGTGGAACCAAGTCCCAGGGAGATCCTAGATCCGGAATCCTGAAACGGTGTGTGTGGGGGGGTCAGGATTCCGGCACTTCACCCCATTTCAATCCTGAGTCTCGAGCCAAACTTCCAGCACTTCCAAAGGATTGATTGGGAGTGAACATGTCCGGCACTGCCTGGGTGCAGCCGACTCTGAGGCACGTCATTCGCTGTCACCCTTGACCCTGGTTTCCCCCCCCCCCACTCCTCTATCCTCTATCGTCATTCATATTCTCCTCTATCGTCATTCATATTCTCCAATGGGACACCTCCATAGCCCAGAGTCATCGATCATGTTCTCCAGTTAGAATTTTACAAGGCAGAAACTTCGGTCACCTAGTTACTATCTTTGAAAAAAACATTTATGGAATGCACTTTCGGTTTGCAAGCTGCCACGCTGCTCTTTCAAACCCCTTTCCCCCTCCCTTTCTGTTATGGCAACTCTATAAAGGCCATAGAAATATTTTAGGAGTTGGCCAGTGGGATGCCCTGGTCCTTGACTTACAATCAAAATGAAGTTTCTGTTGCTGAGCAAGACAGTTGCTGAGTGAGCTTTGCCTTGTTTTACGACATTTCCTGCCATCCAGTTGCTAACTGAATTATAACATGGTTGTTAATTGAAGGTCGCAAAAAGAGATCGTGGAACTGCAACCGTCGTAAACACAGGTTGCCCCAGTTTTGATCACGTGACCAGGAGGATGCCGCAACAGTCAAAAATGTGAAAACCGGTTAAAAAAATGGGACAAAAGTCGCTGAACGGCTGTCTTGCTTAGCAACGGGCATTTGGGACTCAAATTGTGGTCGTAAGTGGAGGACTACCTGTACCCTTTCTCTCCTGGAACAGCCCGAGCCGGCATTGTGGGATGGAATGGGCCTCTCATCCTCCCAGATCTGTTAGGGAGGGGAGGTCTGGGAAACCGAGGCACACTGTCAGCCTCCAAGATCTTTTCTATTGCTTTGCATCTTTCGGCTGCCATAAGTAACGGGGGGGAGGGGTAATGTCTGGGAAGAGAGCTGGGGGTGTTACATTCTTGGGTTGTATAAATGAGGAGTGGTGGTGGGGGGGGAGTATAAATTCCTGCTCTTAAGTTTCTATTCCTTTCTTAGCCTTCTTTTCTCTGCGCAACTGCAAATCTTTATCAAAATATGTCAAGGTCAACGGACAGAGGCCTCATCACCACCTGAAGATGCCCACATGACCATATCCAGAACTTTTGATTGGAACCATCTTTTGAACTTTGGGGTGGGGGTGGGGGGAACAATTCCATCCCTTTGTATATGTGATCTGCGCGCCTAATTTCTTAGATTCAGAATTCAACCTGTAGCTTCCACTTCAATTTTCAGTAAAAGATTTCTTTCCTCTAATCTATGGAGTCTAAGTATTTCTTTCTTGGATTTTGAATGGAGCACAGACTGACACACGCCAAGGATGCATTCAGGGTCAAAAGACACAGAGAAAACCGGGGAAAGCTATAACACAGACCCCGAGTTCCAGAGGTGGGCTTGGATTTGGTCAGAGAACAAGGGATGTAAAAGCCAGAACAAGAGAGAGAACCTCCCACAACTACCTGGTTTCCCCGAAAATAAGACCCGGTTTTATTTTCTTTTGGGCCCCCAAAATAAGCACTAGGGCTTTTTTGGGGGGGAGGTTTCTTATTTTTGTTCCCCATATGTGGGAGGCCCAGCGATATGTTGGTGTCGTGGCCATGAGGCAGGTGGGGAGAGGGTGGAGAGCTGCCCCACGGAGCCACGCCATCCACGCCCTGGCAACTTCCTCGCTTCGCGACTGGAGCACCGGCGCGTCGTTCGGCCTCCTGCTCCTGCGAGCAAAGCCGAAGCAATGGGCCGGTGGCCCTGCCAGCTCCTGATGCATGTGACCGTTGGTGCTGTCGCCGTGAGGCAGTTGTCGGGGTGTGGATGGCCCAGCTGAGGTATGCCGGTGTACGTGTGGGGCAGCTCCACCCATCTCACCTCGTATTGATGGCACCGCGAGCAACCACACAAAATGGGCGGCTGTGCAGAGGCTTAAATAGGGCTTATTTTTGGGGGGGGGGGCTTATATTAGGCTCGCTTGCAAAAAAAACGTGCTAGGTGTTGTGGTTCGCTGGCAGCCTGTGCAGACGGCAGCGGAATTGGACAGGCGGGAAGAATGGGGACCAGTCCGGGAGTCTGGGGAGGACTCAGAGGGTTCTGCGTCCGATGCAGGGATGGGACCAGGGACATCGGGGAGTGGGGGGCTGCCTTCGGAGCCTCCAGAGTCTGGCAGCAGCGAGGTAGAGGAACAAGGGGAGCCTGTTCCCAGTGCGCATGTGCGCAGAGCTGCCAGAAGGCGAGAGCAGCTGAGACAAAAGAGGAGACAACGGAGTAAGGCTGGGAGGTGATTGCCCCTCCCATAAGGGATAAAGGACAGGCAAAGGTAGAGAAACCTTTGCAGGAAGCAAAGTTGTTCGTTCTCTTCAGATTAATCCTTGAAACTCTATGTGGACTTTGTACTTCGGTTGTTTTTTTATAATTCATTTGGCACTTTAGTTGTTGGCAGCAATTCAAAGGAGAGAAAGGTGGGTGCTTATCTTGAGGAACTGTTTGGGAGTCATTATGGGCTGGGAAGGAACATAATTCCCAGCCGTTGAAATAAAACAAGGGTTGTTTGGACTAAGCGTGTGCTTAATTACGGTCTCAGGAAGCCTCGGTCAGAAAACTAGGTCTTATTTTGGGGGAAACATGCCCTTGAAGGGGAGGGACCAAGGCTGGACCAACCTTCAGGAGCTCCTCGGACGTTGGTCTGTCTTGGGGGATTTTCTGGAGACAGGAATCTACAAAGTTTCGGAAATAATCAGACCTGCAGAGGGAAGGGATTGGGGGGGGGGGGGGGGGAAGAAAAAATGATTTAAATCAGGCTTCGGCCCTCAACTTCATTTTTCTCTAGGGATTTCTACAGCTTTTTTTTTAACCAACGAGGGTGCGGTGACACTAGAGAAGGAGGGGATGGGTTTTTTTTTGCCCCATTTAGAAGTGTGGGGAAAGCTGGAGAAGGAAAGACTACGCTCAGAAGCCAGGAAGGCCATGATAAACAGACAGACAGTAGATGGATTGATACATAGGTAGATGATAGATAGATAGATAGATAGATAGATAGATAGATAGATAGAGAGAGAGAGAGAGAGAGAGAGAGTGAGTCCCCCAGGGGGGCTTTCGTGGCAAAGGCAGAACTAGAACCCACGGTCTATTGACAGGTTGATTCATAGATGACAGAGAGTGACAGATGATAGATAAGGATAGACAGACAGAAATAGGTAGGTAGGTGAGTAGGTGAATGGATAGACAGACAGAGTCAAAGATAGGTAGGTAGGTAGGTGAGTGGGTGGATGGATAGAGACAGAGATAGGTAGGTAGGTAAGTGGATAGGTGGATGGATAGATAGGTAAGTAGGTAGGTGGGTGGGTGGGTGGATGGATATACAGAGGTAGGTAGGTAGGTAGATAGGTGGATGGAGAGACAGTGATAGGTAGGTGGGTAGATGGATGGATGGATGATAGATGGATTGACAGACAGAGATATGTAGATAGGTGGGTAGGTGGATGGATGGACAGAGATAGGTAGGTAGGTGGACAGATGGATAGACAATGTATATACAAATATAGATGATAAATTGATTGACAGATATAGATAAATAATGGTAGATGGTGTATATGGACAGATAGATGACATACCTTAGAGACAGACAGAAGAGATATGACATATATAGACAGCTATATGTTAGAGAGAGAGGATAGGTAGGCAGGTAGGTAGGCACGATGATGATAGACAGATAAGCCAGCCAATCTGAGGGGGCTGCTCCCCCCAAGGGCTCAGCTCAGTCCCCAACCTCTGCCAACTCCCTCCTCCGAGACCCGCCCCGACTCACCACTCGCTGGACTGGAGGAGGGGGGATTCATTCTGCGCTATGTGATATAAGGCACTCATGGCGTTCATGTTAAACAACGGAGGCTTCCGTTCCGCTGTGCGAAAGAGAAAAGGGCGGGTTTTAGACTCTGCTGGGGACGCCTCCTCTCTCGCCCCCATTGCTCCCCCCTCCTGTCCCTAAGACCCCGGGGGGGGGGGGATGAGAAAGACCCACAAACGCAATCGCCTCCACTGCCAAGTCTCCCCACTTTGGCCCCCAGCACAGAAAACTGCCCCGTCTTAAAACAGGCTGTTGTGCCAAATAGATCTGTGGGCCGTGAACGATTAAGAGTTGTGGCCCCCAACTTTTCTGTGGCTCCATGGATTGGCCGTGGTAAAGGCGGGTTGGATGGGGAGGGGGATGGTTTCGCACAGGCGACCTAATCCCACGTGTGGGGAAATGGGGATTGGCATGCTCGCCCGTCGCTTACGCGGCCCAGTTCCCAATGGGATGCAGATCGGTACCAGTCCATAGCCCCGGGGTGTGTGTGTGTGTGTGTTAAGGACCCCCAATTTAGAGGATGAAGGTGTGATGACCCAAAGGGGCGTGAGACAAAAATAACAAAATCACAAAAGTAAAATAAATTCTCTTTAATGCCTCCAACTGGGGCCCCAAGGTCCAATTATCCTCGGCTGGATAACAAACTCTTCCAAAAACAGTCTACGAAGGGCAGAAATGCACTCCGAACCCAAAGTAAAGATAATTAGAAATAAAAACAACAACACAAACCATGCTGAAGTAATTAACACGACAGGCCAGGATGATCAATTGCAGGACGCCAAAACCCAGATAAGCCTCAACAATGATAATGCACGCTTTGCTTCCAGCAAGCAGCTGTGTGCAAACGCCCCACTTATATCCTGTTCTCCCGGCTGCAATTAATGAAAGGGATCAGGGCCCCTTTCTCTCCCAATAAGCCATGTTGCTCCCTTATCTGTTCCTCCCTGCGTTCCCTAGGATGAAGAGGGGATGGGCCTGGGTCTTCCTCTGACTGCCCAGCTGGACTTTGCCCTTCCCCCGTTTCTTCCACAGCCACCGGAGCCACACTCCCACTCCCTGTCAGCTGCTCAACCTCCCCCTCGGAATCAGACTCCAACAGGGGCATGACGGAAGGTGAGATAAGGTGAGATCTTATCCGCTTTAGTATTAATTTTAATGGCCTACCTTTCAAGGCAGGGGTGTCAAACTTGACTTCATTCAGGGCTGTGTTGTGGCCTGCCGGAGCTGGCAGCAGAGTCCAAAAGCGAGGAGGTTGGGGAGGAACCTGGGCCAATCCTGGAGGGTGAGGAAGGCTCGGACGACCTCTCGGTTCCAGAAGCTCCCACTGCTGTCCGAGCCTGAAGGCAGCTGATGACTGCCAGCCCACCCTAGCCCCATCTCTGCCTCTGACGCAGAGCCCTTGTCCGAGCCTTCTTCAGCCTTCAGGAAAGGCCCAGGTTCCTCCCCAACCTCCTTGCTACTGTCTGACTCAGCTGCCAGCTCCGCCAGCCACTGGTGGGTCACAGCAGGGTGCATCAGGGTTGTGTTTTGACCTTGGGGATGTGGCCAGGGGGTCCCGAGTTTCATTTTCGGCTGGGATGGCCTCCTGCAAACCCTCCGCCAGCAAAAATGGAGCTCAGGAGGGCCTGGCAGAGGCACTGCAGACAGGTCCTTCACTGTTTCCAGGGTGGCCCTGCGGGCCACTTTTAAACATCCCACAGACCGGATTCAGACCACGGGCCTTGAGTTTGACATCCCTGTTTTAAGGTCTGATGTTTTGATCCCACCGCTGTCTGTTTATATTTATATATATTCGAATCCCTAGTGCTGCATAACTGAGTGAGCTCCCGTTCCTTCTCCCAGCTTCTGCCAAGCGAGCAGTTTGAAAGCATGCAAAAAAAAAAAGAAAAAAAAGAATGTAAATAGAAAAACAGAGACCCCTTTGGTGGGAAGGGAACAGCGCTCCGTGCGCTTTGGGCAGCGTTTAGTCCTGCCGGCCACATGGTCACAAAGAGGTCTTCGGACAGCGCCTGGCTCTTCTTTGGCTTTGCAACGGAGATGAACAACCACACCCTAGAGCTGGAAACCACTAGCATGCATGTGCGAGGGGAACCTTTACCTTAAGCTGAACATTCGCTAGGTGGAGAGAGATGGGCTGCATACCACTTTAACAAAAAAAAGGGAAGGAGGGAGGGAGGGATGTGGAGGATGGCGACTGTGAGATCCTCTAGCCTTTTCTGAGTGTATTTGTTTTCTTGTGGACATTTCATGACCCAACTAGGTAACGGCATCAGTGTCAGTAGGGAGTGGGGTTTGCTCTCACTTTATATACGTGGCTTGCCTTATCATTGTCAATGGGAGAGTTCTTGGTGGCTCCTTGACTGGGGTGTTGTTTACAGCTTGGTTACTTGGGTCTAGTGTTAATCTTAGGGTTGTTCTCTGCTTATCTGGGTGTTGGGTGCTAGTGGGGGGGGGGGGTTGGGGCCCTTTTGTTTCCTTTTTGAGTTATGGAGGATCTCTTTTAAACGGCGCGCAGCGGTTGTGGATCCCTGGGTGCCCGCTGAGGGCTGGTGCGTAAAGCAGCAGGTAGCAGAGACCGAAGAAGACCCCCGCAGGGGGCTCACCTAATTCAATGCAGGTGATCCCAAGAGACCACACGTCAACTTTACCGTCGTACTGCCCTTCGTCCATGGCCAGGATCACTTCGGGGGCCATCCTAAAAAGCAAACGAAAGACACGACGTTAGGCGCCAACAGCCAGAGCCACAAGAGGAGAGTTCAACTGAGATGTTTAGCGTCTCGTGCCGTTTACGCAGGCATCTTCCCATTGGCATCTGGATGGGACTTAGCTCTCTGCCTGGTTCGGCTTGGCGCCTCCAAGGCCCCTTGACGTCAGATCTGTTCCCCGCACCTTCCTGGCTTTCTTAGAAGGGCTCTGCCAACTGACTTGGTGTTCTAATGGGAGTGCCCCATTTTGGAAGTGGTTAGTTAGATCCGAAGATGCCATCTCCACTTTGTTTGTGAACTGAGTCCTTTTTGTCTAGGTCAGGGGTGCTTAGATCTGGCCTTGAAAACAGCAAAGGACCGGCCCGTGGGGCCTCTGCCAGGGAAAACGGAGGGATGCTCTAGAGCCGTGATGGCGAACCTGTAGCACGCAGAGCCATTTGTGCGGGCACGCAAGCCCCACCCAAACTTACCTGCACTGCGCATGCGCGTGCCTCCAGCTGGTTTTCGGCCCGTCTGAGGCCGTTTTCGTCCTCCCGGAGACTCAAGGGAAGCCTCTGCGGCCTCGGGAGGCCGAAAAACGGGCCTGCTGGAAATACCAGGAGTGTGGAAAACGGGCCTGTTTTTCAGCCTCCAAAGTCTGCAGAGGCTTCCCTTGAGTCTCCGGGAGGATGAAAACGGCCTCAAACGGGCCGAAAATCGGCTGGGAGGCATGCGCAGTGCAGGTAAGGGGGTGGGGCGGGGCCCATTGCATTGTGGGGGTCCTGTTTTTTAACACTCAAATTCTTATTTATTTTACTTTGACACTGTAAACTGCCCAAAGTCAAGTGAGCGGAAGGTGGGATTTGAAAGGGAGACAAGTGGCGTATAAATTTAGTAAGTACGCATGGTTGGAAAAAAAATGATTAAGCAACATATAGATTTGAAACCTGAAATATTACCTGAAGGTAATAGTAAAGAAAAGACTTTAATTAATCGTACATGTATTAACAGCAGCTAGAATTGTATTTGCTCAGAATTGGAAAAGTGACAAGATAAATAAAGGGAAAAGTTATTGAAAAAAAATATTTGAATGTGCCAGAAACGAATAGGTTAACGTTGGAAATTAAAGAAAAAGAAGAATCTGAGTATTATATGGTATGGGATTTATTTTACCAATGGTTAGAAAATAAATTAAATTAAAATGGATTAGATGTATATATAAAGCAATGAGAGAAGATTGTAAAACAGATACAATGGATATTATTCATATGACAATGTGATTATTGTTGTAGTGTTATATTGATAAGGAAAATATTAATTATAAATTGTAAGCACATGAATACGTACCTAATCGACGCACGGTTGAAATGGAATGTGTGTGTGTGTGTGTGTGTGTGTGTGTGTGTGTGTGTTTGTGTGTGTATCTATCATCTATCTATCTATCTATCTATCTATCTATCTATCTATCTATCTATCTATCATCTATCTATCTACATACATCCATCCACCCATCCATCCATCCACATCTATCTATCTATCTATCTACATCCATCTATCTATCCATCTATCCATCCATCTATCTATCATCTATCTATCTACATCCATCCATCCACCCATCTATCCATCCACATCCATCTATCTATCTATCTATCTATCTATCTATCTATCTATCTATCTATCTATCTATTTATCTATTTATCTATCTACATCTATCTATCTATCTATCTATCCATCTACATCCATTCATCCACCGATCCATCCACATCTATCTATCTATCTATCTATCTATCTATCTATCTATCTATCTATCTATCTATCTATCCATCCATCCATCCATCCATCCATCCATCCACCGATCCATCCATATCTATCTATCTATCTATCTATCTATCTATCTATCATCTATCTATCTACATACATCCATCCACCCATCCATCTATCCATCCACATCTATCTATCTATCTATCTATCTATCTATCTATCTATCTATCTATCTATCTATCTATCTATCTACATCCATCTATCTATCCATCCATCTATCATCTATCTATCTACATCCATCCATCCACCCATCTATCCATCCACATCTATCTATCTATCTATCTATCTATCTATCTATCTATCTATCTATCTATCTATCTATCTATCTATCTATTTATCTATTTATCTATTTATCTATCTACATCTATCTATCTATCTATCTATCCATCTACATCCATCCATCCACCGATCCATCCACATCTATCTATCTATCCATCCATCCATCTATCTATCTATCTATATATCTATCTGCCTACCTATGTCTGTCTATCCATATCTATCTATCTATCTATCTATCTATCTATCTATCTATCTATCTATCTATCTATCTATCTATCTATCTATCTATCTACATCCATCCATCCATCCATCAATCCATCCAAATTACAAAAAAATAGTTTAGTAGGTAAATAATTTAAATTAATTGATAAATTGACGTGATCCGTCGCTTTAATAAATAAACGATTCAGCCGACCCCGGAGCTCTTAACGCCCCTTGCTTACCAGTAGGGGGTCCCCACAAATGAATTGGCAGGGGAAGCGATGGAGGCCGACCCAAAATCAGCCAGCTTCACCTGCCCGGGTTCCGTCAGTAGAATGTTCCCTGCCTTGATGTCCCTGCGAAGAAAAGGAAGGCAAGCCACAGGTTTATCCACAGGGGATGGGTGGGAGAGAATACAGGCAGTCCTTGACTTACAGCCATTCACTTAGCGACAAGTTCGAGGTTATAACATCACCGGAGGGAAAAAGTGAGTTATGACCGTTTTTCACACTCGTGACTGTTGCATCCTCCCCACAGTCCCAGGATCGGAATTCAGAGGGTTGGCAACTGACTCGTATCTATGACGGTTGCAGTGTCTCGGGGGCGGGGGGGGATTCCCCCCCTCCCTTTTGCGGCCTTCTGACAAGCAAAGTCGTTGGGGGGAAAAGCCGGATTCCCTTAACAACCAGGTTCAACTTGTTGAACAACTGCAGTGATTCACTTAACAGCAGGAAAGGTCGCAAAACGGGGCAAAGCTCAATTAAAAATCATCTCGCTTAGTAAAGGAAATTACTTGTCATTAACATGCGCTGTGGGCAACTTTCTAGAAACTAAAGCTTGCTTCTAGGAAGTTATTTCTAGAAAAAACGCAGCCTTTTTAAAAATATCCCAATAACGGATAACCAGAGTAGGAAGGGACCTTGTAGGTCATCTAGTCCAACCCCCCACCCAAGCGGGAGACCCTACACCATTTCTGACAGAGGGCAGTCCAGTCTCTTCTTGAAAGCCTCTAGGGATGAAACCTCCCACAATTTCCGAGGGCAACTTCTGTTCCATGGGTTGATATTCTCCCTGTCAAGAAATTCCTCCTTATTTCCAGGTTGAATCTCTCCTTGTTCAGTTTCCCTCCATTATTCCTTGTCTGGCCATCAAAGGTGCTTTAGAAAATAGCTTGACCCCCTTCCTCCTCTCTGGGGCAGCCCCTCCCTCAAATATTGGAAGATGCTCTCCTGTCTCCCCTGGTCCTTCTCTTCCCTAGACCAGCCAGGCCCAGTTCCTGCAACCGTCCGTCGTATGTTTTATCCTCCAGTCCCCTCATCATCCTGGTTGCTCTTCTCTGCACTTTTTCTAGAGTCTCAACCTCTTTTTTATAACGTGATGACATTCCATTCTGTCTCTGTAAAATATAATTTATTGATATCTGGGTGTGCCTCTCTTAGATCCCTTTCCCTCCCTGCGGGCCCTACCATGCCAGTTCAGCATTTGTTCTTTGAAACCCAAAACTCAGGACAGAGGAGCAAGAAACAGCTGATTCAGAAGGTCCACAAATAGAACATAGAATAGCCGAAGGGATCTTGGAGGTCATCTAGTCCAACGCCCTGCTCGAACAGGAGACCCTAGTAGACCATTCCAGAGAAGTGGCTGTCCAGTCTCTTCTTAAAAACCTCCAGTGATGGAGCCCCCACAACTTCTGGTGGCCCGCAGTTCCACTGGTTAATTGTCCTCACTATTAGGGAGTTTCTCCTTAATTCCCAGTTGCTTCTCTCCTTGTTCAGTTTCCATCCGTTGCTTCTCCTCCTGCCTTCAGGTGCTTTGGAGAATAGCTTGACTCCCTCTTCTTTGGGGGAGCCCCTGAGATATTGCAAGGCTGCTATCATGTCACCCCTAGTCCTTCTTTTCATTAAACTAACCATACCGTGTTCCTGCAACCGTTCTTCGTATGTTTTAGCCTCCAGTCCCCTAATCCTCTTTGTTGCTCTTCTCTGCCCTCTTTCCAGAGTCTCAGCATCTTTTTTTTTTTTTAACATCGTGGCCAAAGCTGAATGCAGTATTCCACGTGGGGTCTTACCAAGGCCTTATAAAGTGGTATTAACCCTTCACATGTTCTTGATTCTATGCCTCTGTTTTATACAACCAAGGACTGTTATTTGTTTTATTGGCTTCCACCACCCTCCGCTGGCTCGTATTTAAGTGACTGTCCAATCGGACACCGATTGGATTCACAGTTACGGGCACGGAGTCAGGTTTCACCTACTTTGTAGCTGTAGGGTTGTTGCCTTGCCTGAGTGTAGGGCCTTACTTTCCGTTTACGTTGGATGTTTGCTTTGTGACTTGGGGCAGGAGTCAAGGCAAGGAGGGAAGGACTCACCGATGGATCAGGTTGTGGGAATGCAAGTAGGCCAATCCTCGGAGAGCACCATGGGTGATGGCAGCAATTTCCACTTCTTGCAACGGCTTTTTATGAACTGGAGGAAAGAGAGGCATGGTTAGCAAGGCAGTGGTGGCATTAAAACAGGGCGTCCAGTCTTGGCCACTTTTAAAGATGGGTGGACTTCAACTCCCAGAATTCCCCAGCCAGCAGGGCTGGCTGGGGAATTCTGGGAATTGAAGTCCACCCGTCTTTAAAATGAACCCTCATTTAAAAGATTTCCCCTTCAGCCACACTGAGCCTAAATTCAAGGCACCAAAGGTAGTGCTGTGGCCCACCAGCGGCCAGCGGAGCTGGTGGCAGATTTGGACAGTGAGGAGGTTGGGGAGGAACATGGGCCAGTCCTGGAGTCTGGGGAAGGCGCTGACGAGGGCTCTGTCAGAGGTAGAGATGGGGCCAGGGCTGTCCGACAGTTCTCAGCTGCCTTCGGAGTCGGAGATCAGTGGGGAAGAAGAACAGCTGGAGCCTGTTCCCAGTGTGCGCATGCACAGAGCTGCCAGAAGAACAGCTAAGGAACACGGGTCGACTTGGGAGTGAAGGCACAAGTGGATGGTGAATGGCCCCTCCCAGAGGGAATAACAGAGGAGCAAAAGGAGGAGAGTGGGACTTTGCAGGATACAATTAGTTCATTTAATTAGTGTCAATATCTGTTCCTGACTTCTTGCCAACTAATTGCTGCTACAGCTTGGCGTTTGGAAGCTATCGGCCTGGCAACTCTCCAAGCCTGATAAAGGTCTGTGGTTATGAAATCTCATGAAAGACTGTTTGCTGGGACTTTGCTGGAGGGGAATTCACTTTTAACCTAAATAAAAGGGGTTTTATCGAGATGAGGAGTCGGCTTAACGATCTTGGGAAGGTCTAGGTGAGAACAGATAGTTTAGCTTAAGGGTGTCAAACTCACAGCCCGTAGGCAGGATGTGTCACATTCTGGCCCTGCCCCCGCCCGGTTTAGCGAAGGGGGGAAAAGTCCCAACACGTCACGTGATGCCACTGTGACGATGTGAGTTTGACACCCCTGGTTTAGGTAATCTTCAATCTCTTATGAAGCCCATGGGTGGATATATGCCCTTTTTGCTAAAAACTGCAATAGGAATATCAAATAAAGGTAAAATATTATTTCAATAATAGTTAAGGAATGAAAGAGATTAGAAATATACCTGGCAGTAGGGCAAAAGAAAGTTTTCTTTTTTTAAAAAAAAGACCTAGCTGAATTCACCAATCATTATAATGTAATTCTGGGTCTTTTCCTGCTGTCAAGTTCTTTCTTTCTTTCTTTCTTTCTTTCTTTCTTTCTTTCTTTTCTTTCTTTTTTTCTTTCTTTCTTTCTTTCTTTCTTTTTTTCAATTTAATTTAACTTAACTTAACTTAACTTAATTTAATTTAATTTAATTTAGTCAAGCATGTATGAGAAAACCAGTATAAGTATGGACATAACATATAAACATATAATTATAAACAGGTATTTATTATGTAAATATTTATACCTGTTTATAATTATATGTTTATAATTAAATAAAAATGGAACATTAATATTAATATTTATTAATGTTCCATTAATAAAAATGGAACATGAGGACAGGGACGGTAGGCACGCTGGTGCGCTTATGCACGCCCCTTACAGACCTCTTAGGAATGGGGTGAGGTCCACGGCAGACAGTGTAAGGTTAAAGTTTTGGGGGTTTGAAGAAGTAACAACAGAGTCAGGTAGAGCATTCCAGACATTGACCACTCTGTTGCTGAAGTCGTATTTTCTGCAATCGAGTTTGGAGCGGTTTACTTTGAGTTTGTATCTATTGTTTGCCCGTGTGTTATTGTGGTTGAAGCTGAAGTATGCTTATGTTTTGTTGCTTGATATATTGTGACGTCTTAGTCACTGTGGCTTTCAGACCATGGTTTATAGATACAGAAATTCAGTGTACTCAACAAGCCACTGTTAAGTAAACGTGACAGCGTGACACATCTATTATTAAAGTCTGAGAAACTGTCTCTCATACGTTGTCCAAGTCTAATTTTTTCCTGTAATTAATTAGGGTTCATTAAAACAATGAAAAAGACTTACCTTCTAGTAAATCTGAAGCTGATCCTAAACAATATTCCATAACAAGCTGCAGCAGAGAGAAAGGAAAACGAATGTATTTATTTATAATTTATCAAACAAAAACTAAAACACGAATAAAAATAAAATGGCAGGGACGATAGGCACGTTAGATGCACTTATGCACGCCCCTTTATGGACCTCTTAAATATGCAGTTGAGAAGTCCATTTGTGACTACAACTGAAAATGTGTAGCTGAGACAACTGCATCAGGTAGAGCATTCCAGACTTTAACAACTCTATTGCAAAAATCGTATTTTTTACAGTCAAGTTTAGAATGGTTTACCTTGAGTTTAAAGCAGTTGTTTGCGCACGCGTTATTGAGATTAAAACAGAAAAAGGCATTGACACGTAAAACATTAGTACGTACAGTTTTGCATGCAATCCCTTGGTCCCACCACAAGCGACGCAGTTCCAGGTTATCCAAACCAAGAATTTCGAGCCTAGATAGCGTAGGGAATTCTATTGTGTACGGAAAAGTACAAGAGTTTTCTTGTAAAGAATTGTTAAGAAGGCAGTACGGGGTGGCGAAGAAAGAAAGATTTTGATTAAAGTTTCCGAGGCAGCAACCGCCTTTCATTTTCACCAGGTTGCTCTCGATACCAATGCGGTTTCTCTACATCCAGTATTCTCAAATTCATTTTTGTTTGTTTTCAGTTTGATTTGCATCCATTATTTTTATGAACAATTCAAGGGGGTGAACATCCCTCCTCCTATTTTCTCTACAACAATCCTGTGAGGTGGGTTGGGCTGAGAGAGTGATTGATCCAGAGTCCCCAGATGGTGAGTTCTAGTCCCGTCTTAGCATGAAAGTCAGGTGGGTGACTTTGGATCAATCCCCAGAAGAGAGTGAGTTCTAGTTCCATCTTAGCCAGGAAAGCCAGCTGAGTGACTTTGGGCCAATCCCCAGGAGATGGTGAGTTCTAGTGCCGCCTTAGTCATGAAAGCTGGTTGGGTATCTTTGGCCCAATCACCAGGAGACAGTAAATTCTAGTGCTCTCTTAGGCACGCAAACCAGCTGGGTGACTTTAGCCCAATCCCTCTCTTTCAGCCCAACCTAACCTCTCAGGGTCGTTGTTGTGGGGAGGAGAAAGGCGCCTCGGGTATGTTCGCTGCCTTGAGTTGTTTATAAAAATAATAAAGGTGGGATAGTAATAAAATAAAATGCACAAAACAAATATTGGCTTACCCATGCTGTATGATCCCGCAGGTAGCAGCCTTTGTACTCTATACTGTTTGGATGTTTAATCCGTTGGAGGAACTTCACTTCCTTAATGATATCCTGCCATTTCTGGAGAAGAGAAAAAGGAGTGGCTTTGTAAGAGGGAAGTAAAACTTAAAAAGGAAGAAAGAGCCAGGTGATCTAATAAAGGAAACGGGACATGTGGGCAACCAAGGACAAATTCATTCTCTGCCCAAAACGGTAGGACTGTTACCAGCAATAAAATAATAAATTGGTGTGCGGAAAGGAAGGACTTTTCTTCAGCCGTATATCTACAGGATTGCTTATTTCCAAATGTAAACTTGCTTTCTGTATTGCTGGTTTTGGCCAAGACGTTAATCTCTCAATTTTGTTTTTTTATATCTATATCTATATATTCTTATATATATTATAAACATACATTTATTTCTGACAAAACTGCAAACCAAGTGTTAGATCAGTAATGGCAAATTTTTGGCGCTGGGTGGGTCAAAAATTCAGAAAACGCCTAATTTCATTCTGCTGGCAAGTCTGAACAAAAGAGAAACCTTTCTTTTTCTTTCTTTTCTTTCTCTCTCTCTCTCCATCTCTCCCCTTTTTCTCTTTCTTTCTTTCTTTCTTTCTTTCTTTCTTTCTTTCTTTCTTTCTTTCTTTCTTTCTTCTTTCTTTCTTTCTTTCTTTCTTTCTTTTTTTCTTTCTTCCTTCCTTCCTTCCTTCCTTCCTTCCTTCCTTCCTTCCTTCCTTCTTTCTTTCTTTCTTTCTTTCTTTCTGTTGTTCATTTCTAGTGGTGGCAGAGTGATGGCAACTGCAGGTTCATGCAATAGTCAGTCCCTCCCTCCCTCCCCCCCCCCCCCCCCCCCCTCCCCCCCTTCCCTTCCCCCCCCCCCCCCCCCCCCC